GCACTTATAGAGGGTGCACTTATAGAGGTATCACTGTATAAAAATTATAATCTTCAGTGGTGGATTTTTTGACAACTACCAGTCCAACCTTTCTGATTTTTTAAACATAAGCTATTTTTTAGTCAAAGAATTGATTTCTGGCATTCATTTGGCCGTAACTGCTTTAGTTAAAAAGTTAAGAATTTTGCCATTTTTAAAATTAAAAATTTCCGTCAATTTTTACTAATAATTAAACTAAAAAAATACTTTTAAAAAGTGTCTCATGTCTAAGGTTGCCTCTTCAAAATCCTATGATTAGTTTCGTCAAAATTTTACTATAGATTTATTATAGTTTTGGCAGAGTTTTGGCAGTCTTGGAATTTATAATAAGTTTCGGCAGTTTCACCTTTCTCCAAAGTTTCACCAGTTTTTAATATAACTTTAATATAGTTTCGGCAGAATTTCGCTTTTCGGCGAAATGCCATCTTGCCTAAACCCCTAGGTTTCGGCAAGCAACCTTACTCATGTCTCGAACTTTTAAAATAAATATAAATTTATTGTTGGGCCCACTGAATTTTTTATGATTTTTAATTTTTAGGGTAGTCAGATACTTTTTACCGGGGAGTGTATATTCTTCAAATATTATGATAAATATTACAAATAATTTGGTTAATTAAAGATTAGCAATTTGCAATTCTAATGGTGAAATGACTTATAAGGTATATACTTTACTTGATATTTTAAATAATAATATAGAATTTTACAATTCATAACTAGTAGGCAATCTATATTCTTTTGTTATACAATATATATTTTGCTTTATCTATTGAAAAAACTGAAAAATCTGAAATCAAATGCAAAAATTATAAATTATTGGAATTAAGAACTAAATAATGATTATCTATTCTGAAAAGAAATATTGATTGCAGCAGATAATAATAATATTGTTAAAGAACTAAAAAGCTGTAAAATACTTTTTAAAATGTATTTTAGTTCAGAAATAAAGAAGTTCTTTTAGTGATTTTATTTTTCTTAATTGTAATTTCTTTACTAAATAATTTGTAAAACACATTTGTAATTATATTAACATTATTAAAATAATAAAATTTATGTATTAGAATATCTGCTATATTATCATTAATATTACTTTGTATATAACATAGTGTCATATTTGTAATATTTTTATTTACTTTACTATACAAACATCAAAATTCTTTCTTGGCAAAGTAATCAGCATCAAACAAAATTTTCTTCTATGTGATTTTGTGGCATACTTCTAAATTTTGATTGGCTTATAACATTTATCTTTAAAGACAAAAAAAGATATTTTTTTCTTAGAATATTATAATAAAAAATTTTATTTTATTTACTTTTACAATAAAAACATTTAAAAATATCACTTTTACATTTTATTAAATTTAATAACATATTCTCCCAATTTTAAGCACCGCCCAATTTTAAGTACCACCTGAAATTTTGGGGAAATTATAAGTACCACCTTAAATTTGAAAATTTTTATTATTAATTTTCATTATATTTTATATTTTACATTTGATAATTTGATAATTTTTCATTTTTAGCAAGAATAACTTCTTCAATTATTCATGTACCGTAAAGCAAACCAATATATGTGAAGTTTTAAATAAATCTAATAAAATTAAGGAATACGATACAAAAAAAATTCACCACCCCTAATTTTAGTAAAATTTTTTCCCTTAAAAAGTGGTGCTTAAAGTTAGGAGAATACTATTTACAAAATTTTTAGTAAAATTGAAAAATACTAATAATTTTACATCTGCGGAATGAGTTTGCTTAATCTTCAAAGGCCAATAAAAGCGCCAAAATTACGCTGTAAGGTAAAATCCAGTTGCGTGTGGCACAGTGATTTTACACAAAAATGTTCATACCTTTTAAGATATTTTGATAAAAAACTAATATTTGGGTAATTCTATATATGCTGAAGAACTTAGCCTAAGCCTCCTAAACTTATTTCATTTAACCAAAATACTGAAATTACGCTATAAAATTGAAAAAATAAATCTTTAAGACTTGTTTCATTTAACTAAAATATTAAAATAAAAACCATGAAAAAACGCGTCTACTTACTTATTTATTTATTTTACTTTAAGATTATTCTAGTCAATCTATTTCACAAATAGGAAGCGGCACATGTCCAACTATACTGACTATTAAAAATTGAGCTACAATGCCTATCCAAAACACGATCAAATCAGGCCCATCCTTCAATGAAAAGACTGCGAAATGGGAGACATATGCTGCCATCTGAGTTATAAAGAATGAATTTCTGCCTTGACAGGTGAATGAATTTCTCCTTTGTCAAGAAAGCATTTATTTACGAAGCACTTTTGGACTTCCAAATAAATTAATACACCAAGTCACATGCAATCACAGCAACCCAGTCCACTCATATAACATTCGTTGTCTAAATTTTTATTAATAATTTTTGAGGCGACAAAGGCTCTTTTCATCAGCTTCCAATCTCCTTTTTCTAGATGATCTGTCATCTTGTCCATGAATATTGTTAGCCAATCCTGATAAGTAGCTAATTGCCATGTGAAAAAAATAAATCTACATAACCATCACAGAGTAATTTTATTGAAGTTATATCGAAAAGAAGCGGTGATTCTCCAGTAAACTCATCATTCTCGAACCCATTTTGCTTTGCAAAAACTCTTTTACTTCTCGCCAAAATGACTGGTTTTAAGAGCATCCTTTGTTTTCTTCACCAAACATATTTATCAGCTTTTTTTCGCCATCCTTCAACTTTTGATAAAAATGGGATTATGACTTCATCCAATGCTTATCACTTATTTGTGATGTATAATCCGTATCTGAGAGGTCAAAATGGCCGCGTTTAATTATACCAATCCCCCTTAGGTTATTGCTTAAGTTTATACCATCCATTTTCCAATCTTTGTGAGTATTAAGCGTGAAGAGAAATTTGATAAGATAACACAGCAAATTATTTGTTTGTGTATTGCTGTTATTATGTGTACTTGATTTGGCCTCATTTTGCTCGTCGTTGTCATTTTCGTTTTCTTCTAAATTATTTGTTTCTTTCTTTAAATGATTAAGTATATTATTGTGAATGAAGTTAGTTGACAGATCGTGTCTTCTGTTTCGTCATGCTTAACGTTTTCTCTGTAGTTATCCTCTCCTTCATCTTTCTCTCCTTTCTCATAAATAAAAATCTATCTTATCGTTCCTAAAAAATTGTCTCGCTTCAAATATCCCACAGAAATGTTACGAAATTTAGTATTGTCACGTATTCTGAAGTGAATCTATGCCACCAAAATACGAATAGAAATCTTTTGCAACTAATGTACTGTCTGTCATTCCGGTATTCTGTAAACTTACGCTTGTATTGTAGTTTTTTATTTATTTTATTCTTCAAGAGTGAAATATGGACTAACTTTGTGTAGGAAAAATACTAGAGGTAAAAATACATAGTAAGAATAACTAACTAAAGTAAGTTAACAGACGTGTTCCCCATGTAAGGGGATCACCCTTCGTAAAAAAAAAAAGAAAATAGAACAGAAAAGCTACCCACAGTTTCCAAATTTATAGCACGTGATAGATAATCAATCATAATTATGAAGTAAAAAACGCTAAATTTATAGACATTTTATTCATATTTTCTTGCAAAGGCCAAAATGACAAGAGTAATATACCTGCTTTGATTTGTACATCTATAGAGCCGGGAAAAATGGATTAGGCGGATTATACGAATTTTATTGAGTGATTGACAAATTTTATACAAGAATGTGAATTATTCAATGAAGTTGGGTCATAGTGGACTAATATACACAATTATTTGTTCGGTCCGTTTTTTCTTATTTGTTTGGAATGCACTTTCAAGTTGTGCCAGATTCTAAGGAATAAAATGCGTTAATATTATTGAATCTTCTAAAAACGCGAGTCTAAATAGTAGACTTACTTGCGCATATCCAATCTTAATATTATGAGATTTTCCTTCAGAGGTCTTCTAGAGCTTTGATTGCATAGTCAACTCGACCGGTTGAATCATCTCCTGAAATATCCTTCCGCAACACTATAAGAATATCTTGAGAAGTAAGTTTTTAGTGATGGCGATTGATGCGTGTAATATTGTTGGAATAAATTCACAACACGTCGCTTCGTTACATCGGTCATGGTTTCCACGTTTGAAAGCTTTAAAATTATATCCTCCATACAGTGATTAAATGCCTTATCATCGTCACTCCAGAAATACACGTTTAATTCTGCAGATAATTATTGGCAAAGGTAATCACTTTGGACGAAAACCTGTTGATAAAGCAACATGAAATTATTTTTATTTTTTCACGCTGGTGTTTTTGCAAATTTTAAGAAATCAAGTAAGATTGATTGATTTTTTGTTAATCAAAAGGAATATTTATATGAGAACATTCACTAATTTATATATTCTTAGATCCAAATAATTTAAATTTCATAGTTGTCAATGGTTGCATATAGTAAAATATTTTTGAAGTAGCTTTATCAAACAAACTTTTGATAATTATGTTATAATGGTTGATGGTCAGTTTTTAATTATCCAGTTTGGTGATGTTGTCTTCCTTTCAAGTAATATCAACAAGTACAATCTTTTATCATTTAATTCGCTTAATCTCCATGCAAATTCTTCACCTTTTTAACCTGAAGTCCAAACTATCTTGAAAGAGGGTACAAAATCAATTACGGGTTTTTTAAGGCTCTTCGTGAGGGTAGATTTAGAATCATTTTGGTGATAGGTAAAAGCTGTGATGCCGCCAAGTTTAGCTTTGACTTCAATAGGAGTGTAAATATCGGTTACTCATTATTATTTATAATAGTATACTTGAGGAGACAGCAGGTGACATTGATCAATTTTAAATTAGATAATTTTATTAGCTGAAATTTTCTATAATAAATAATTTATGCATTTAAACAATTTTGTTGCATATTTTATGAATCTATATATTTTTCTTTATATTACATTAATCATTCTTTGATTCGCTTTTCTCTAAAGTTAATTTAAACGTCCGTATCATTTTGAATAAATAGGTTCTTAAAAGATAATCAAATTTTTTTGTAAAATATAAGAAAAATTCAAGAACTGAAATATGAGAATCACTTTATATTGAACTACATTTCATATTATCTCAGTCAAAATCTACAATCAAAGTAAGATTAAGACCCCATTCTTTTTTTTCTCTGTGTCCATTAACTTTTCTACCCTTTAATTTCGCATATTTCTCTATAACGTCCAAATAATCAGCGCTACTAATATAACACATCCAACTCATCCTCTTAATATCAACATTACAATTCTTTAAAAAATTACTTAAACCCAATGGTGTACAACTCCATCCATCAATATCAAAATATTTTAAAGTTTTTGGTAATAATTTTCCAATTTCTGGAAAGAATAAATCAATTTCCCATGGCAATCCAATAGAGACTGAACTATCCCATTTTTCTGCTGTTATCTCTAGTTGTTCTAATTGAGTACAAGATTTTAGGAGTTGTAATAATTGATTCATCTCCGAATGATTTTGAATTCTTGCTTTGTAATAAGTAATGTTCGGACAATATGTCGCACAAATTGAAATAATATTAGGATAATTAACCAAATCCATATTTAATCTCACATTTCTTAATGTTGCATTTGAATTCTTAATAATAGTTATTAGTGCTAAGTAAGGATGATCTGGAATATTTTGATCATTGTTTTGAATTATTCCTTGATAAGGATGATCTCCTAAATCATCATCAATTACCCTATAATTAGAGAAATAAAGAGTATGTAATTTTGGGAATATCGTATTTCCTAATGGTTTCATAATGTCATTTGTTAAATTATAACAATCTTCAATCTTTAAAGTCTCTAAATTTTTACAACAAATTAGTCCTTCAAAGGTTGAAGAATCATCCAAATAATTATAGAAGTGACATCCATGAATTTCAACATAAATCAAACTATTCCATTGATTACCCAAAGATTTTAATATCTTTGATAAAGATCCCCACCAGTTTCCAATCGTAAATTTTTGTAATCTTTTTTGAGATGTAATTAAATTTACAAGTGATTCACTTTCAGTAGAATCATTATCCTCAATAATCATTTCATCAATATTTTTACAATAATGAACCATTGATCTGAATATTGCATCTTTATCATACGATCCTCTCGAAACAAATTTCTTTAATGGAGCAAGACAATGTGATGCTCCGGGGTACTGTGTTAACAACATACATTCAGCCAAATTTCCATAAGGTCCATATCTAATTGACCTAGTATCCAAAGACAAATTTTCTAATTTATTACACTTTAACATAAATAATTTACTTAGCTCTTGAAGTAAAAGTAGAGTTTGTCGTCCTCGTTGTTTAAAAACTTCAAATCCGATGAATTTATTTGTTGCATTATTTTTAAAGTCACACCATTTTCTTATTAATAAATAAACTTCATTAAAATCCAATTCTCTTAAAAACATTGGATAATCGAAAATCGGTGAAGTAGAAGGTATATGAAGTTGTAAAATATGTTTTGCTTCTTTGGAAAAAAAAGGAAAGTATGCGGGTACAAGTTTTTCCGTTTGATGCATAATTGCTAGATGAAAAGGACTTTTCCATAAATATGGAATCATCGTATTACACCAAACTCTATTCACTAATATACAAGAATGTAATGTTTTAATATCATTTCCATCAATCGAAGAAAAAATTTTGTCCAATAATTCTGTTGGTAAATATAATGACATTGTTTAAAAAACAACAAAGTTCAAAAGCCAATGCGTTTTAAAAACAAATTGTTTATAATACGCCCTTATTATGACGCCCTTATATATTTATGCTTTTGATTGTATCACAAGGTTTTTTTTTTTATAGTTTGATCATGTTTTCAAGTCTGATGACCTTATTTCAGCCAATCATCTTTCACAAGATCTTGATATATCACTGCTTATGGAAAAAATAACGTAATAAAAAAGTACTAGTATTATAACTCGATGAGAGTACCATTTTCACTTCACAATTACTCTATTTGTGTCGCTAAAATCTAATATAAAGATCCTGGTTTCATTTTTTTTTAGACTAGTACTAATTTATACTAATTTAGAAAGTTTAGTCATAAATATGTAAATAAAGAAATGAAATATCCGATATTCATTTTGCAATAAATTAGTGTTTCATTGTTTCACCTATTTAAGAAAAAGAAGGTAAAAAAAAAAAAAAAATACAACACTTTTTTTTTCTCTTACTCTTTCTTATTCAATCGATTTTTGACTGATAATATATTAATTAAAACAAATTAAAATAAGATAAAAAAAAATATGGCATTTCCTCCGGAATTTGTTGTTCAATTCTCATGTGTTTTTGCCATGTTTTTAATATGGTTTTTTTCGTTAGTACCAATACGAAGAGCTCAATCATTACATGAAGAAGGGTATGATAATTCAAATCCAAGAGACCAGTATACCAAATTAGTTTGTATCTTTTAATTTTTCTTTCAGATTTATCAGATGTTTTTTTTTTTTTCTTTTTCAAATACTAAATATCAAAATCTCTTTTTAAACATTATATAGTCTGATTGGGGAAAAAGAGCAGTTGCAGCGGCAAATAATACATTTGAAGGACTGGCTTTTTTCTCAATAGCAGTATTTACACAAGCATTCTCTCGTTTTCTACAACCTGCATCAGGAAAAGATGATAACAAAATAAGAACTGTTGTTGATATTATCTGTATTATTTATATCATTCTTCGATTGGTAAAAAAAAAATTTTTTTTTTTAAAAAATATAGTATTCGTCATTTTTCTTTTTTTTCAAAAATTAATTTGATTTCTTTTCTTTCATCATGATTGATTATAGATTTATTTGCCTTTATATTGGTATGATGTTGCAAGTGCTAGAAGTTCGATTTGGGCAGTTGGAACATTATGTATTATAGCTATATTCGTGATCGCATTTATATAAATAATTGAGTAATTAGTTGTGATTTATTTAATTTACCAGATTAGTTAATTTTATTTAGTTTTTCCCCAACTAATAGTTATTTGTATATCAAATTTAATTTCTTTAGATTAAAAAAAATTAATGTTTGTTATAAAATTTGGAATTATATCATTCATTATCTATAAAGATAAGGAAATATTATAACATTTTATTAAACAATTTAAACAGATTAATTTGAAAATTAAGGTTTGATGATGTATAAAGTTTCAATCACAAACATATACAATATACAATATTTTAACAGATTAATCAAAAGATTAGAGAATTTTTTAGGAGGAGTCAGGAACTTAAAAATTTCAAATCTGTTACAAGGTTTGGAAAAAGTAAGTTTGTACGAACTTTCGTATCGAATGGTGGTAATTTCATATCTTTACGATATTGATAGTATTATTACGTTATAAAAAATTTAGATGTTTTGTATTGCATCCAGTGTTCTTACAATAGTGATCTTTAAACTCATCAGATTCTCGATATGATGTTAAAAAAAAAATTTGTAATTCAAATCGTAAAAATCGTGCGTAGAGCTTCATAGTCTATGAGAACAATGCTTAGAAAATTTCCTGATGCCCCCTTTGTAAAATTTTCGACTTTGATGGGTTTAGTCTCAAATTTCTACTTTTGATATCCATGATCGTCTCGCATTCTTAGCGTAGAAATTTCAATACTCCGCTTAGATTAAAATGACAATTTTACTATACGTCAATTAATTAATTAATGCTGACTAAATTTTTAGTTTATTAATATTACTAAAATGAACTATTTGGCTAATAACGTAATTAGTTGAAATGATTATTAGCTAATAACGTAATTAATTGATCGATCACTAGAATGAACTATTTAGTTGTACTCAATTCAAATTTGAATATAATACAACATATAAAGTAAGTCAATTTAAAATTTTATCTCTTGTATACGTTTAAGTTCATTAATGTATACATTTCTAAGAAAACATTCGTCTTTCAAAACGCAAGAATTACGATTTGCATCATATAAAATAAAACATCGTTCGTCTATCGGTCTATGGGCATCAACAGATATTATCAAAGGATAAGGATATATATAAATTTCATGGAAATAACCTTGAGATTTACTGATTCGCATGAATTTGAAAGATGATGAAACTGAAAAAGAAAGATGCAAAGTATATAAAATGTACGCAGAAGAACCTTTAACATAATTTTGTATTTGCCGATATTAAACACACTTTTTTGCATATAATGTTGACCAAAGTCATCATAATGCCGGTTGAAATCTGGTCAGGCTCTAGAAAATGCTTATTTAATTACAACTATTCTTTTGAGATTGTCTGTCTGATCTAATTGCGAGAAAGGTAACTTTCAGCTATCCTCATGCTTCAGGTCAAAGAGTGCCTTATTATACTGTTCATATGTGAAGGAAGAGCGTCCCAATCAGAAATAGAGTCATTCTTGATTACCTGATTTTCGTCTCTTTGAATATTGTCGTCATATAAGCACCAACCCGTAACTATATTTCTATGGTTGCAAATCTTTTGAAGGTTTAAGATTCAAGACTATATTTAATATTTAAGAATTCGATAATTTTAAATATTAAAATTTTATGAATTTGATGAATTTAGATAATAAATTTTTTTTTGATATAATATCATATGAACTTCGAAAAAGTTTTTTCTCGAAACTGAAAAAAAATATTGTACTGATTTTAAGATCAACTCCATAGATTTCAACTTTTGTTCTCTCATAATAATGAAATTCGAGAACATATGCTTAAATGTGAAATTTTCTTATTCAGATAATACTTCTAATACTTTAAAGAATACGTTACAACAAAGTATTCCATTTATTATATTTACCAATTTAATTTCTAAAGAATCTTTAGATAAAATATTACCATACAAACAAATTTGCTTAAGGAATTAATTTAAGTCAAACAGATTCTAATAGAGAACAGAGTAACTCGTATATCTAGAAAGATTAATTCAGAAAATCATTACATTTCAACATGCTGAATTAATCTCAAATGAATTGATAAATTAGTGACAAGTTAATTTCTTTATAGGATCTCGTCCCTTAAAAATTTCATGAAATTTGCGCTAATCAATCTATTCACATCATTGAGATATTATTTCTCAAAAATTGTTGTGTATTTGCTTGTTCATAAATTTCAACTAACTCCCTTACATAAAGTTACTAAAGTGACGAAACCGATGTAGTGGCGCAGCAACACGATTTATTATTAAATTATTTTTTTTACATGACGCGACTGCATGACTACATACTGATGCATATGATTATCAACTCAATAAAATTCCGAAATGATCAAAAATAATTAGTTTAATTATAGGTAAAAGTTAAATAAATAGATAGATAGATGAATTACAGTATAAATTTGTCAAAAAAATTTTGTTATGTATTACTGTACTTAATCATGATTTTACGTCCGCAAGAATCATTGATATCATCTGATATCAAAACTTGTACAACAAAAAAAAATATATTTATTTTCCTCGCTCTTTCCCCTTCCCTTTCTCATCTTTTTCTCTTCCCTTTTTTTTCGAGGTCCTATACAGTCTTTTTCTTTTTTTAATCACACATCTCTCATTATTCCTCTATCCTTCGGGAGAAAGGTAACCCACTTTAACTTTTTTTTCACACAATAAAGTCCCTATCTAGGTGTCCCTATCTAGGTCTAGTCCAAGGTTAGAGCAACATACATCAAACAAGCAAAAAAAAACGTCGTAAAAAAAAATACAAAATTATGGTATCCGTCATAGGTATGTACTGTGTTTATTGTGCGGGACTGCCTACAGACAACATATAGGTAACGAGTTTCTCTTGGAAACTTGTTTTTGTAGGTAAAAAACATATTAGAAACCATCCTTTCAGTATAGACGATTTTGTGGTCCTTTTTTACGCGTTTTCTGTCCTGTCAAAGCATTATTGCCTTCACATTTAGTTTCTTTCAATTTTCTTTAGGCAGATGGATTAAAATCAATGTAAACAGTACTTTTAAGACTATCAAGATGACGCCAAATTTGATATTTAAAGGACAGATTAGAGCTGTTATTTGAGGCTAGGACACATCATTGAGTGGTAAGTATAAATTATAATAGTTCGCCGGATGGACGTATGTGTAGGTGTGCACTGCAGGGTTCACTGAAAGTCTTCCGGATGGTGAACTGTTATGATTGACATAGGGGTTTATGTGCTCGTAGTACGTACCATATGCTACAGGCTAGTAGCCATCTGCTTTGTGCACAAAGTCGTAGCTACAATGATGCCATATAGGTGATCCCCAAGCTGATTCATATGGAAGGGCAGGCTGTGGTCCCGTTGGAAATGACACATATCCCTATGTCATGTCACTTACTTAGTTGTTGTTATTGAATACTATATGAGTCCATTTACCATAGATCCTATGATGGCCACATGGGTGTCCTGGGGTTCCCTGCTTAGGCATAATTAACAGGGTGGTAAACCTCATATGGTATAAGGTGATAGTGACTAAAAAACTTTGTAAATTTTTGTAGGGCATGTATCAATTCATTTTTTCTTTAAAATAAGCGTCTTAACGTTGGTACACTTCCTATGCAATTATGGCTATTAATCAGGATAATTCTGAAGTATATATATATATATATGGCGGTTGAAGATATGAACTGGGATATAGATTTTTTTTTATAGACAAATAGAGCTTTTCAATTATGGGAGTTTTCCTTTATATTTTGGTTTTCTTTTTTTTTCTTTTTTATTTTGAACTACTAGCTTTTTTTTTTTGAAAAAAATCATATCTCTTTTCGTGTTCATCTTTATAATTGACTTGCTAAATACGTAAAAAGTAAATGTAAATTTTGTGTATGAATGTATATGAACGTATAAAGCTGTATATGATAATAAAGCACATGTCTATAATAGGTCGTAGCGATCATCGTTAATAGATGTATTACAAGATTCTCCAAAAACAGAATAGAAAATATATAGGATAACATATTGTAAATAGTATATTGACAATTTTTTTCGTGAAATACAATCTTTATTTTATAGAAAAAAAAAAAAATTTTTTTTAGATTCTTTCTCATAAATATCCTACTTTTAGACACATATAAGCATGTAAGAACTTTGTATTTTAATATATAAAATATTTTTTAAGAAATTGTATTTCCAACAAAAAATCTAATAATGATAAATATTTAACTTAACTACGTTGAAGTTATATATCAATAATGAACATTTTGAGTATTATTTTTTATCAAACATTAATGATCTTCTTTTCATAATCTTATATATTTTAATAAATAGTTATCGGATGATTAAAACCAAATAATTGATCTAATCCACATTAGACTATTAGTTGAAATTCATTCACTAATAATATTATCAATTTGATTGGGCCGTTCATGAATAAATCCTCGCTACTATCTAATAATTTTATTATTATGTTAATATGAGATTGTTGAGATATACGATCAAAATAAAAATTACTGGATTATAAACTGATGATAGTAATTAAATCAAAGTACCTAAAGAATTCGATTGAATCATAAAAATATATTGAATCTATCTATATATTACTGCACACATGCATGACGAGAATATGATAGTTAAAATCATCAAGGACATTATTTACAACTAAAACTTCCATTGGCAAATTAGCAAATACTGTATTTTTATGGGAAAAAATTACAATCGCACATTAAATGTGTTATTAATTACTATAGGGTATAGAGGAAATAATGATGGTGTTCAATTTAGTAATTTAGTAGTAAAAATTGTCAACCGTCAACCGGCCAAAATAATCATTGCACATAAATCATAATCTGGGTAATACATTTTAACATATCACTGATAGATCTGTAACAGATCGCGTGTCATATTTGCATAAAGAACGTTGTACCCTCATAACATAATTACGTAACTTCTTAAAAGCATGTCCTTGAATGGGACAGCCTGGGACAGTCCAAGTCCTTGGTCAAGAACTTTTAATGTCTGGGTCATATTTATTAATAAAATATGGCTTATTACAGTGAGACAAGTTAAATAATTTACATTGATAGGAATATTATAAATTAAAAGATTTCAACTTAATGTACGTAATTGAGACAATTATCTTGGAGTCTGGGGCATTAAAAATCCTTGGGAGTTGGGACACTATAATCACAACCCTGTTCCCGGGCATTGAAAATTTCACGTGATTTTAACCAATCATATCATTCAATGTAGTAGATCATGTGAACGTGAAATTTATCACGTTAACGCCCTAACGCTTGATGACCAAATTCTGCCGCTTGAACCGAATGACCGGCCGATCTGGCTGATCTGAACCGACAATAAAGTCAGCGAAGTGAGCGAACTTACTTATTATTTCAGCCGGTCAGCCCACGGAAATGAAAATATCCTCCATAATTTTACAAAATCCGTTCTTTATCTTTTTTTCGGTAGTTGATAAGAAATTTTTTATATAGGTTTTCACCTTTTTCACCTAGAAGCGTGAGAAGCGTGTGATGCGTGCGATGCGTGCGTGCGTACATTGGTTATACGTGTTACGCATTTTATTATGTTCCACATGACAATAGTTCTAAACTAATATATAAATACATGCCGATTATTCAGAAATATTGACCGATTGATTATTCTTTCTGGATTGTTTGATAAATAATTATGTCATAGATAAATTAGGATCTAAGGAAATCATTTTTTAGAATTTCGAAAGATTATCATGTTTAGGTAATTGGTTCATAATTATTATTTGTACCCTTTTTATCGAACAATTTTTTTTTTTTAAACAAAAAATATATACAATATATTATATTTTAATATTTATATTTTATTTATAATAGAATTTTTTTTTTTTTTACAAATAATTTTATTAACCAAATATCGTAATTATCAAAAGTTGAGTGTGTTACACCAATTTAATGAAAATAAAGGGGTTGATGTTAATAACTTTATAAACTTTATAATTCCTTTTTTTTTTTTTTTCTTTTTTTGGTCCAACCTTAAAAAAAAAATAAATAAATAAATAAATATAAAATGGATAATCGAATTAATCGATCATTCATTTGACGATTTGTTTATATATAATTATTATTTTTTCCAAATTTATACAGTATATTTCGAATTTAAATATATATTTCGATTGGTAAAAAAAAAAAAAACGACGAATATTTTTGCTTTGAATAAATTTATC